CTCGACAGCACCACTAGAGGAGATGGAACGGCACAACAACACCCTCAAAAGGGAAAACGACTAGGGATGGCAATTTCCCCCGCGGGGCCGGGTCCCCTGCGGGGACCCGCCCCTACGGGGGCGGGGGCGGGGCCGATTTTCAACCCGTGGGTGCGTCGGGGACGGGGACCCGCATTTAGGCGGGGAGGGGACGGGGAACTGATTTCACCCGCGGGTGACCCGCGGGTGACCCGCGGGGCCCCGGGGGTACATATAGACCTCAAAATATAGATCAAAGAAAGCCCAAAAAGCCCAGCCCACTAAAAAAATCCTTAACCCTAGCAGCACATCCCTCAATCTCTCTCCTCCCCACATCCATTCCCTTCCCCTCCCGTGCGGCTGTGGCGTGACCTAGGCGGCGGCGCGCGCTCGTGGGCGGCTCGCCTTTGGATCTCGCCCTCTCGGCGTCGCCGGCGCCTGCCAGCCGCCAGGCCACCATCTCCTCTCCCCTCCTCTCCAGTCTCCCCTCCGGCGTCCGGCGGCTCTAGCTCCTCCTCTCCCTCCGGAGTCCGCGGCGGCGGCACACAGGGCGGCGCCGCGGCGGGCCGGCGGCGGCGCACAGGCGCGGCGGGGAGGCAACACCGGCAGCAAGGGCACGGCCGGCGGCACACAGGGCTAGGGCGGCGGCACACAGGGCGGCGGCGGCGGCACATAGGGCGGCAAGAACACATAATGATGGATATCATTAATATGTGTTCTTGCTGAATTTTTATGATGAAATTGAAGTATTCATGCTATTTTTGATGGTGTGTTTATTATGTACAATATTTCTTTTTGCTGAAATGATGATTGTGTTGTATTTTTTGAGCTGATTGGATGGAGATGCTACCCAATGCGGGGCCCCGGTCGGGTTGCGGGGCCCCGCAGGGGTCGGGGGCGGGGGATGTTTTCAACCCGCATCACTGGTCGGGGCCGGGGGCGGGGGGTGAAGTCGGGGGTCGGGGTCGGGGGCGTTCCAGCCCAACCCGGCCCCGCCCCGCCCCGTTGCCATCCCTAAAAACGACGTTCGAATATGCTGTCGTTGTCGGCCCGGCAAGACCGGACTAGGTTTTCACCCGCCGTCCACCGCCTGCTTGTCCACAGCTGACCACCATTGCTCCACCACCATCAAGACTTTGTCAGTGTGTGGGCACAGCTGCACCGGCGCCCCCGCCAGCCAGCATCCGCACCGTGCCGAACTCCGCTGTCGGCCACGACACCTTGTGTCGAACCAGCCTCCGCTGTCGACTGCTACTACTCGCGCCAAGCAGGCCTCTACCACCGCTGGCCGCTCCTCCTTGCGCTGTCGTTCCCACCGTCGATGATGCGTCACCTCGCCTCGACGCCCGCGCCACCGCTTCACAGTTGCACCCTACCGCCTCCACGTCCACGCTGCCTCCTCTGCATCCGCGTCACCGCCTCTGAGGGCAGCCTCCCGTGCCAGGGAGGCCGAAACCGAATCTGCCGGCGTCGCCACGCCATCGTACGCCACTTCTGCCTCAGGATGCCACGGTCTGCAGGCCTCCGCGCGGCGCGTGTAGCACCACAGCGCCGCGTCCGCCCACAGCTCACCGGAGGCTCGTTGACGCTGCCCCCGCGCGCAGCACCATGATGCAGTTGTCGCCCACAGCTCCACTCGCCAGAGGCTCGTCGTCGCGGCCGTCCTCTCGCATTGGGGAGGCCGGATCTAGGCGGGAAGGGGCCAGATCTGGCAGGGGCGCTAGATCCAGCATTGCCGCCTCGCCATCGCCACCCCAGTCCACCGTGACGCCGACACCATTGCTCCTCTTCAACATCGGCGGCCAGGCCGTCGCGCCGTCACTCCTCCTTGCATCCGCCTGTCGCCGCTGCGGCTGTCGCCGGCTCGGAGCTGGCCGAGGTCGTTGGCGCCGACCCTGTGCCCATGGAGGAGAGAGAGAGGCCTTGCCGCCGCCGTCCTTGCAACCGTGTGGTTGCCGGCGGCCCGCTCGGGTAGCGGCGAGGCGGAGGGAGGGGGTGGGGGTGGTGGCGCCGCGGCGGCGGTCGCCTCCCGTATCGCCCCTGCCCCTAGAGCGACACGGGGGAAAGAAAAAATAGAAAAAATGATTTGGTAATTATGGATAGAATCCTAGTGGAACTAGAGTTGTACACTTATAATAAGTAAGATTTTTAGTATAAATAGGGAGGGATACTATGTTTTTGAGGGTAAGCTATATTTAAGAGATTATAGAGTTGATAGCTCTTTGTATTATGGAATGGGGGTGTATGTTTAGTAGACGGTCCACTGCAACATATGATGGTCCGATGTTTTTCGACCTCTCGGTCATCCGATCCGTTGTTGCGTCCTTTTGAGTGTGAAAAACAAAATATGTGATATTTCTTTCGTATACTTCATGTTTCTAGTTAGGCATATAAGAGCCCTTTTGAATCAAAGGATTTACGTAGGAATTTTATAGGATTTAAATTCTATAGGAAATTTTCCTATTTGGCCCTTTGATTCAAAGGATTGAAGCTTTCCAAATCCTATGAAATTCCTATGGAATGGCATATTGCATGTAGATTTTGGAGGAAATTTATCAAGAGCTCCAACCTCTTGAAAAATTTCCTTTGAGTCTATCTCTCTCATCCGATTCCTGCGTTTTTCCTGCGCTCTAATCAAACGATCATTCCTATGTTTTTCATGTGTTTTGTAATCCTCTGTTTTACACTTCAATTCCTGTAGAATCCTGTGTTTTTTCTATTTCTTTGTTTTTTCTACCCTGCGATTTCAAGGAGGCCTAAGAGGTCAGGGCGGAGCATTTTCCTCGAGGAGAAAAGAGAAAGAGATTAAGATGGACCATCCATCCAGGGGGAATCTCATCATTCGACGGCCCCGGCCGGCCATGCCATCCATCACACACCGTTGGCAACGCTGGGCAGTAGCAGCCTCCCAAATTGGCCACCGCACAGGTCAATGACAATGATAAAGCCTATACTACTACACAGCCATCTGCATCACACACAGTACACATCGCCCAAGCTACAACCTTCTCCCGGATGGATGCATACTGGACAAGCTATGCTACTACAACTATTCTAGACGACTGCTCTAGAAAATAAAATAACAAAAATACTCCGGCCTTTGGCTTGGCAAGTTGACCACCACATACAGGTGGCTCTGGCCCTTGGCTCCTCCGAAAGCCTAATCTTAAAATTAGATTCTGGAAGCTAAGCAAGTCGATTAGGTTAATCCAACCCGGACACCTTGCTCCTGCCACATGACGATTATATTAATGCGTCTCTTGGAAGGCGCGTGGCGCTGGTGCGATCCCGGTATTACTCCCTCCGTCTAACAGCATAAGGATTCTGAGTTTTGATTACAACGTTTGACCACTCATCTTATTTAATTTTTTTTAAATATTAAAAAATGAAAAGTTATGTTTAAAGTACTGTAAATAATAAAGTAAATCACAAATAAAATAAATAATAATTTTAAAAAAAAATTAATAAAACGAGTGGTCAAATATTGCAAGCAAAAATTTAAAATCTCTTATATTATAGAACGGAGGGAGTATTAAACCTATCATCACTACTACTCTACTCCTCACTAGAGCACAAGCTTAGAACAAATGCTTCAGACAGTTACGAGAATAGCCGTCCGTCGGATCAGAGATCAACGGCGGAGATTGCCGTTCGGGTGTGAGGTCACGATGACTAGCCGGTGATGTCGCGACGCTGTGCGTGTGCGTGGGGAGGTGTATAGTTTGGTCTCGAAAAGGAGAGGCGAGGAGGACGCCACGCTCCGCGCGAGCATTTGCTGCGGGAGAGGAGATAGGCTGGCGGTCGTCGCGTGTGGCGCGCGCGCGCGTACGCAGACGTTTGCGTCGTTTCCTTGCGGATGGAGGCATCGTCTGTTGACGTACTGGTTGATACTACGACGCTGTCAAAATTCGTAAAGTGAGCGGTGAGCGCTCCAGGTTGGAATCGTAAAAATATCTTTTGTGTTCCAACCGGGATTGACATATGGAGGCGTGAAGGCATCAAGGCACCATTTCAAATAAAAGAGTTTGTTCTAATTCTCATGCCAATTGGACAGCGTGCATAAGAGGGAAATTATGTGAGGAACGTCTAGAGATCTTCCTGCTAGCTTTATAAGGTGGTGGGCTAGACGGTTTAGATTCAAAACATCGTCCTTTCTATTTATTTGATATTATATCATTCTCTAATATTCGTGTTTAAGAGGGAAGTTATATGAAAACATTTGAGTTTTCACTCTTAGGAGGGCAAGGTTTGAATGGGTCAGAAATGTTCTTTTGGTTTAATTTACCGTCTTCTTAATTGTTTTTAGGTAGGAGTACAACAACACGACAAACATATACGGTTTATTCACAAGTCTTACAAATCGACTGATTTGATCGGATACTAAGCAGAACAACGTAAAAAATGAACGTGGTTTTTCCTTTATAAAAACAACTTCAAGTAAAATCCCTGCAACCACTTAACGCATACGGTGTTCATGGAATACGTCATGTAAGACTATGGACCACATCAGCTCACCACTCAAAACGAGAGTAACATGTACACCGAGACGCGCACAATCTGCAGTGTGACAGAGGTTAACCACCACAAACCCCTCAACCACATTACAGCAGCTCGCAGGATTCCCTGTCCCCGACCCCATCTCCTCCACGATACACACAATCTCCGGCGAAGAAAAATTTCTAGAACACTAGCTACAAAAACGTTCTAAAAACACAAGCAGCCCACGCGGACTCCTGTGTGGACTCCACCCACCCACGCACGCTGCATGCCACGGGCAGGCGATTAGCCGATACAATTAACAACAGCAAAGAACAAAACAAGAAAAAAAAACCGCGGAATAAAGCCGCGCGCACCACCAAGACAACCAACCGAGAGAGGAACCCAACTCCCGCGATTAAAATAGCGATTCCGTCGGAACCATCCGCTCCGTGGCCCGCGGGGCCCCCGTGCCGTGCTCCGCTAAGCTAAAAGCCGCGCCCTTTCGCTTGCACCCAGCGCCACTACTGCTACTGCGCCAGTATTTTTTCTATCTATTCGCCGCGCGCGCGAGAGCCAGCCAAGCCAAAGCCAAAGCGAAGAAAGAGCGCGTCCGCGTCGTCGTCGTCGTCCGCCTGCCTGCCTGCCTACCCACGTCGCGCTCGCGTGCGCGCTGCCGCTTAGTCGCGCCAAAAAGGCGGGGGGAGGGGAGGCGCGTGCCTGCCCCCGATCGCATATCGCATTCTCCACTCGCTTGCGTTTGCCGTTGCGTTTGCGTTTTGCGTAGCAAGGGAAGGGAGAGAGCTCGTGCTTTTGGATTGGCCGCGATGAGCTGCGGGGGCGCCGGGCAGAGCGGGTGGCTGCTCGAGTACGGGCTGGTGGAGGAGGAGATCCAGGGCTCCGACTTCATCTACATGGTCGACGACCCCGCGGCCGTCTCCAGGTGCGGTTTCCCCCCTCCTGCTTCCTCTTCCTCTCTAACCTACCTCTGCTGGTGTTTGATTCGGATGGATTGCCGTGGATTGCAGCGTGCTACTGGGCTTCGACGTTCCCAGGAAGGAGGACGGCAGCGGCGGCCAGGACAACTCTGCCTCCAAGAAAAGGTAGGTGAACCCTGATAATTTCCTCTTGTTCTTGCTCCGTCCGTTTCATATTATAAGACTTTATAGCATTGCCTATATTTATATAGATGTTAATAACTCTAAACATACAATGTTAGAAAGTCTTATAATATGAAACGGAGGAAGTAAACGTCCGAACACTTACTCCTTCCGTTCAAAAAAAAAAAAGATAAACCCATCGTGGATTCAAACTCAGGTTTGTCTTTTTTTTTTTTGGGAGCGGAGACATAATTCTGCCAAAGTCTGATAGTATTGTGCTATTTCTGCTTTGAGTTCGCCGGCAAGTTGTCCGGTTTAATTGAGAGGAAAAGATTGCAGTAGGTGAAAATAGCCTGTATGCATGACTCACTAAAGTTCCTGATTACATGTCCTGTTCCCCCCATGTCGTTGAATTTAAAATATGATAGAAAGCATCATAGAGAATATCTACAGAGTACAGACTACGTGCAAGTTCGGTCGATGATAGAGAACAAGTACATTTACAGACCTTATTTTTATTTTTTGGATGATTGGGTTGAGGGTTTTGTTTTGGGTTTTCGTGTTAGCTCGTTGTTCCCCTGATTCAATTAACTTAAGCAGTCCAAGCTGAAACTTTCAACAAAAGAAATAGAGGCTGGCTGTTTTGACAAGCGTAGTCGCCCCTGTTTTCCCCTTGTGCTGATTCAGTGGTTTACAGCATCAAGTCAAGGGTCGGAATTAGCTAGGAAAGTTCTACTAAATCACGGATGTTAAACGCCTAATGCATTCACAATTCACAAATTCTAGGACCGTTTCTGCTTAGTTGAAACCCATGACCCTAACTTACCTTTTGTTCTTCTACCGGCAGATCTCGTCCAGAATCGAGCGCACCGCCGGGCACCAAGGCTTGCCGCGAAAAGCTCCGGCGAGACAGGCTCAATGAAAGGCATGTTTCACACTTTCAGTTACATCACGTTCAAAACAAAGAAACTTCAAAGCATTTGCCACTCCAAATCTGACGAGCGGCTGAATTATCTTCAGGTTCAACGAGCTCAGCGCGATCTTGGAGCCCGGCAAGCCGCCGAGGGCCGACAAGGTCTCCATCCTGAGCGACGCCGCCCGTCTCCTGAGCCAGCTGCGCGCCGAGGCCCAGAAGCTCAAGAGCTCGAACGAGTCGCTCCAGGACTCCATCAAGAGCCTCAAGGTAAGCAGCTGACACACACGTTGCTCTCCCAACTGACTCGATTCACCTGAAGAAATGAGAGCTGAGGAGTTCACTGTCACTGCAGGCCGAGAAGTCGGAGCTGCGTGACGAGAAGACGAGGCTCAAGGCCGAGAGGGAGAGGCTGGAGCAAATGCTCAAGGGCGTCGGCGCCGCCACACCGGCGGCTCCAGCGCCGTTCGTCCCGCACCACGCCGCGGCGGTGGCGGCCGCACCGGCGTACCATCCGGCGGCGTTCGCGCAGGCCGGCGGCAAGTACGTGCCGTACGCCACCAGCTACGCGCCGCCGGCCGCGTTCTGGCAGTGGATACCGCCGACGTCCCTCGACACGTCCAAGGACCCCGTGATGTGGCCGCCGGTTGCATGATCAGCTGCTGCTGTCACCGAAAATGCCGTAGAAATTGACCAAAGAGCACCTGATGAAAGCCTCGGGTGCAGTTATGTGATTGTGTTGTGGATAAATGATCAAGGATCAAGGGATCACCAGAAGAAATTTCCTGGTGATCATTGCTCGCCGGAGCAGTCTATGTAACAACCCAATTGCTAAAGTAATTAAGGCAATTATTATTACATCAAGATGGTGTTTATGTAAAACGTAAAAAAAAAAAGGTGTCCTGTTCCATCCGTTATGTTTTTCAGAGAACAGTTCATGTAGACGACAGCCGAGTGGTTAGTGATGTGAACCCATAACTCTCACCGGCCAGGAGGAACAACAAAAGGGGCAGCTAAAGTAGAAGAAAAGCTGAATCTGCTAGTAGTACCAAATATATACATCCACGGTGATATGTCCTAGCATGAATGAGAATGTGGTATACAAAGTTCTCAGAACTGGCTGCGTTCGGGAGGAGGCACGCAAAACAAAGCATATTTTATTGTATAATTAATTAAGTATTAACTATTTTTTAAAAAAATAGATTAATATGTTTTTTTAAAACAACTTTTATATAGAATTTTTTTATAAGTTTAACAGTTTGAAAACAGTGCGCGCGAAAAATGAGATTTGTGAGTTAGGAAAACTTGGGGAAGAACACAGCCTGATTTTACTTTATTACAACATTGGAGCAGCGGAACCTCCAAAATATTGCTCAGAACTGAATTTATTTGTAGTGTCACGTTTGAAAGCGGAACCTTCTCAGAACTGAAAGCGGAACCCCACAATTAGTGATGTTTATCAGAACAAAAGGGGAAGCTCAAGTAGAGCCTCAGCTGAGGAATCTATGCTACCAAATATATGCATCCACGGCGATATGTCGTAGCATGATTGAAAAAGTGGAGATAGCAATTAGTATATGTGCAATCACAGATGTTAGTATCGCTCATTACAAGCAACATAGCGCGTTGGTACACAAGTTCTCAGAACTGAATTTACTTATTACATGGAGAAGCTGAACCTCCAAAATCTTGCTCTCAGAACTGATGAATTTATTTTTGGTGTCACATTTGAAAGTGGGACCCCCAAAATCAATAATCCATCGGAATGCCGCAATAAGATGCTTGTACAAGATGACAAAATAAAGTAGTCAATCCATTCTTAAAAGGATATTCACCTACTCCTGAACAGGCTAAAAGGAGCATTTGACCTGCAAAGTAGTTTCAGGATGAGTTTATTTATCTCCACTTCTCTAATATATAACATATAAAAATAAGAAAGAGTCATATAGCATATCATATGACTGAAACTGTTTTTATTAACCAAACTGCAAGTATAGCATATCATTTGAGTAGGTAAACATGGTAAATACACTTTCTGTGAAGAAGGAAATCTTGAGAAGATCACACATTCAAAGCAATAAGTGTATTACTTGCCTCATTGCAAAGGAAGACTCTTATGGGTGTACACGACATCCTTGTCACCATTCACCACTTGCCCACGCCCTCGCAAGATCCTGCATATCAAAATTAATCATAAAAATCACCAAGGAAAACACGTCACTTTTTAACCTTCTATACGATCCAAAAGCAACATATAAATGTATATCTAACATAAACGGGGTGAATTGCCATACAAAAGGCAAGATGAGATACTGCAACAGAGACGATTGATTCCATACCATCGTGTAGTTAAGAGACCTTCAACACCCACTGGTCCACGGGCATGGATACGCCCTGTGCTTATGCCAACCTATTCAAGATATTCCAATAAGTTCAGCAATTAAGAAAGAAAGGTAAATGGCATGTAAAATTTGAAGTACCTCAGCACCCAATCCAAAACGAGCCCCATCAGAGAATCTCGTACTTGCATTATGAAATACAGCAGCACTGTTCAAATTGAGAAGTAGAACAGAACATTAGTTAAACATCCGTTCATCATAAGTTGACAGGAAAATAATTGTGCATCAATAGGGAACAAATAATGTAACCATTAAGTAATAAGGGAATTAATGTTTAAACATACCTATCAACTCTGCGTAGAAAAGTCTCTGCTACCTTATCATCTGTAGTGACGATACAATCTGTATGAGCACTGAAACAGATAGAATATGGAAATTTGGGTTACATTGAATCTCATTTTTTGTTTAAGAAAACAACTAGTACTATGGGATAAGGGGGAGACAGGAGTCACAACTATTAGGTACCTTCCATAACGATGAATATGGTCAATTGCTGATTGAACATCATCAACAAACTCAACAGTGCAGGCCATAGAACTATACTCATGATGAAATGAAACAGCTTTTGGAAATCCCAGAGCTTTGTGCGCAATAGGTCCACCATAAATATTAACTCCTGAAATATACAGCATTATCTAAGAAGCAGGGAGAAAATCATGGCCCTGTATATACAAGTAAAAAACAATCCAGTATCCAGAAACATACTACATCTGTGATTATGTCATGTTACTTTGGTTGCTTTTAGCATCGAAGTAGTTTCTATATACATGCTTGTTAACCAATCACAATGTAACCAATCAAACTTGGTTGGAAATTGTTGCCATAAGAGAAGGGTCGCGTTTGTATTCATATATTTTCAAGATTTTTTGTTGTTTGTAATGGTATTTATCACCATTAAATCACAGTGGTTGGTAATTTAAAGTTGCAACTGTTTGTGATGGTATTGAGCAAAATTGCTTCAGAGGGGAGCCGTTTCTATAGTATAAGAGAGTAGAAAAACAAACCTTCTGTTTTTAGTGCTACTAATATGTCGTCAAGGCCTGGACTCTTCATAAGATCCTTATGAACTAGTAAGGTCTCCTGCAGAACATACATGTAAAATAGGCTGTTATCTGAATATAAAAAATGGCTACATGATGTTCAGAAAAATTATAAGGTGGAATTATCAACATGCTGAAAACAGTAGAAGACTATCAAGATATGTAGCTAAATTTTCTTACAAAGGAAAGAGGAAGTTACTACTTTGTAAGAATAAGCATTATGCAATCACAATATAAGTAGTTATAAATCAATTTAAACAATTCAAAAGTGCAGTTATAACTATCATCTATCAATAAAAATAGTTTGCATGAGATAGAAGTGGAGGGGCTGTAATAATCTCAACAGTACTAAATGCATTTTTCAGATGCCAGAGAAGAATTGCAACCAGAGCATCATGGTTAGAAGAGAATTTGAAATTGTCCAAAATATTCAGTGAAAGATACTCCAAAAAGTAACTGAAACTGTAAAAGCAATCTATTTGAATACTATACACGGTAGCAAACTGGATAGATACCATTGCATTGCAGGCTGCTGGGTAATCAATTTTTGCATCCATTACAATATGTTTTGCCATATCCATGTCAGCTGATTTGTCAATATATACGTGGCATATACCATCTGCAGTGGGGAAATATGGAATGTCAGAAATAGCAAAAAGAAAAAAAAACTCAACATCCAATAAAGCCATAAGAGTGGTAAGAACTTAAGTTCAAACAGAATTTACCAGCATGCCCAAGAACAGGAATCTTAGTTGACGCCTTGATTTGAGAGACAAGCTTATTACTTCCTCTTGGAATGACAAGATCAATGACATCATCAAGCTGCACAGTGTATTACGGGTTTAGCCAAATTGGTAGTATCAACGCTTTGAAAATATAGAATTGCATACACACCTTTAGCAAATCTGCGATCTCATCTCTAGTTGTAACAAGGCCAATAAGTTTTTCACCAACATTACGAGGAATAGCATCAGTTATAACCTAGAAAAGAATAAATCGATGTTTTTTACAACAGTTAAAGCAAAACCAGAAAGCAATTTTAACCACAAGATAAAAGGATAATACCTTATGCAATATCGTGTTTGATCTGATAGCTTCTTTTCCACCTTTTAGGAGAAGACCATTACCACTTCGAATTGCCAAAGATGCAATCTAACAACAATGACACAAAATTAGTTACTTAGAAGTATATGTATTCTGGAAAAGAATGGAACACAGTGCATTGCCAGAACAAAATACCTGAACCAAGGCATCAGGTCGGGACTCAAAAACAATTAAGAGAACACCTAATGGGCAAGATGTTTTCTCAAGAACTAAATCATCAGCAACCTGGCAAAGGGGAAATCTTTTTGTTAAAATCACTATGGATATATCATCTAGAATCTAGAATTTCTGTGAAATCTCATAGCAGATTTCTATTAAAAAGAGTTTCTATTAAAAAGGCTGGCATTCACCTCTGTCTTTTTAAGTATCTGGTTTATAGGGTCTTCCATATTTGCAAGGGTACGAATAGATTTTGCAAGGCTTGCTATCTGCAAAAACATAAAATATAATATGAGTTAAACAAGACAACATACATAAGAAAAGAGAAGTGTCAGATATTTAACAAATCAGTTAATTTGGCAAGGAAAATGAGGGGTCCACCTTTCCTGGTTTTATAGTCAATCTAGCAACCAAAGGCTTCTCATATCCAGCAACTTGGGCCGCAGCTACATCAGCTTCATTCTCAGACCTTATTAAATCCTCATTTGCCTCCAAAGCATCTGCAACATCTAGCAATATCTTTTTTCGTTCCTCTGATGACAAATTCTGTTTCAAACGAACATATGGTATCAGACTAGTATCACGGGTGAGCAAAAATAGTGAGCTAAAACTTGAAATAGTGTGTAACTCCACTGGGCATAACAGAGGGACAAGAATTACGTATGATTTGACAAAGATATATACCTGTAGATGCCTTGAACAATCTCTTGCGGCAACAGCCATCTCACGAGTACTAACATCCTTAGATGATTCCCACAAATTCGCATTCTTGTGAAAGAGAGTACCAATTTTTTCCCCATGAAGAACTTTAAGAATGCTCCGATTTTCAAACCCACTTCAAGGATAGAAAAAAATAAACTATTTCTCCATTCATTAAGAAGATAAAAATAGCTTGCAACTCATGAACTTGGTTATCTCAGTGATAATTAGCTTCAACACAACAAGATAATCATTTGAATTTGATGTGCAGTACATTACAAGCATTAAATGTCTGAACCATCATAAGCAAAGTTTCAACGTAACATGCAAGGTCATATAGGTCTCAAAACAAATCATTTTTTTAGCGTAAACTAGGGGTGTTTAAAGTCAGAACAGCTCATCCATTAATGCCACGAAGCTAACATTCAAGCACTGGACTGCATCTCATTCAAGATGTTATAATTGAGGCCAAGTGGAGTTGTTGGGATTGGATGTCTTGTAGGACTTAATAATCTT